GTCCCATTCGACAACGCTACTTCTGGCGCAGGATGTACCGCTACGTGCAGCAGTTCGTTCGCTCCTGCCTCGCTTGCCAACGCCGCAAACCGTCAGCACACATGTCGCCAGCCAGTCCGCAACCGTTACCTTGCGCTGAGCATCCGTTTAGGCGCATAGGTATCGATTTGTATGGACCGCTTCCTCTTGACGTCGGCTGGTAACCGCTGGGCCATCGTCGCCGTAGATCATTTAACCCGATGCGCCAAAACCGCCGCTATCCTTGCGGCTACTGCGCGTGATGTTGCGTCCTTCCTACTGCATCGATTTATACTGCGCCACGGTCCACCTCAGGAGCTTCTCAGCGATCGAGGCCGTGTCTTCTTGTCAGAAGTCGTCGAAGCCATTCTCACGGAGTGCCATTCTGTCCACCGCAAAACAACTGCTTACCACCCGCAGACGAATGGTCTGACCGAACGCTTTAACCGCACCCTCGGCGACATGCTTTCGATGTACGTCGCCGCCAACCATACGAATTGGGATACTATACTTCCCTTCGTCACCTACGCCTACAACACCGCCCCTCAGAGCACGACCGGTTTTTCACCTTTTCTTCTTGCTGTACGGAAGGCACCCGTCACACACCATCGACACGATACTCCCGTACATGCTGGATCCATTTGAGTGTGCACCTATTTCCGAGACAGCCAGCCTTGCTGAAGAGTGTCGCGAGCTGGCCAAGACATTTACGACGCATGAACAAGAGCAGCAGAAGAGTATTCGTGATGGCTTCGCCACTTCTAAACCCACGTTCCTTCCTGGTTCCCTTGTATGGCTCTCAATCCCGACCTCTGTAGCTGGCCTTTCTTTCAAACTACTCCCGAAATATGAAGGTCCCTACCGTGTGATCGAGCGCACATCTCCAGTCAACTATCTTGTCGAGCCAATTGAACAATCTTCGGACATGCGCCGTCGGGGGCGCGACATAGTCAACGGGGTGCGCCTGAAGGCTTACTATGGCCCGCTCGTAGTGACAAGCTGTTAGGTCGCCAGGCGGCTCCCTCTTCGACCCCGGGGTAATTGTAGAGAAGCCGCCGAACACTGAAGTGGGTCAAACTCTCAAGTGTTCTCTAGTGGGTCTACCCAAAAAAGGACGCCGCTCGCGCTGAGAGTCCGTGCTTGGCCGTTACTGTCGCCATTGTGTATACTCGCTGTGTGCCTGCTAATAAATGCCATAACAATATATATATATATATATAGCCGTGGTAGCCCACTGGTAGAGTATCGAACTCATTATTCTAAGGTCGCCGGTTTCGTTCCTGCCGACAGCAAGTTATCTTTTCATCCATTTTTCTTTCTTCGCATTTGCATTACAATTAGGTCTAATAACTTTCCCAATATACTTTCCTTGGCATTATTGTCTGTTAGATCTCATATATATGACGTATGAAGCGTATGATGTATGACGTATGATATATGTGACGTATGAAGCGATAGTTGGTAGAGGCAGAGAAGGAAGAAGTCGGAGATAGAATAAACATGGCGTATGAGCCAGGCCACGTCACCCAGTCATCATAGCGTCACACGAGTCGACAGGATGAAGACCTGCCTGCCCCTTCATCAGTCACTCATCATCGACGCAGTTCCCCAGAAGACGCCCTGACCGTACATTGACTACCGAATCATCGCCTAGGAGGACAACGACAAGCACCATGACAGAACCTTCGGCTGACCTCGACATCCCCAAGTACACTGGATCAGCGGACGACGGACCCGTACAGGACTGGTTCAACCTGTTCGAACTCCAAGCTACCGCTGCATCTTGGTCGGAACGGGAGATGGTTACGAACTTCAGCGACTACGTCACCGGTGAGGCATTCAAGTTTTACCTAATTCACATATTCGAGAACGACGAGTCATGGCAAAAAATCAAAGAGGAGATGATTACCCGTTTGTGACGTATGAAGCGATAGTTGGTAGAGGCAGAGAAGGAAGAAGTCGGAGATAGAATAAACATGGCGTATGAGCCAGGCCACGTCACCCAGTCATCATAGCGTCACACAAGTCGACAGGATGAAGACCTCGCAACCACTTCATCGCCCGGCCATCATCATCGAAGACCTCAGCGAGACGCAGTGACCGAACGCGGACCACAGAAGAACGCGGACCACCAAGACCACCAAGACCACCAAGCATCATGACAGCAGCATCAGACGACCTTCACATCCCAAAGTACACCGGATCAGCGGATGACGGACCCGTACAGGACTGGTTCAACCTGTTCGAGCTCCATGCCGCCGCTGCATCATGGTCGGAACGGGAAATGGTCACCAACTTCACTGACTACATCTCCGGTGAGGCATTTAAGTTTTACCTGATACACATATTCGAAAACAACGAATCATGGCAAAAGATCAGAGAAGAGATGATTGCCCGTTTTAACGACTACGACAAGGACTTCCTCATTACCGGCCATCTGCATACAACCACACGCGGCCGTCACAGTGCACGCTTATTTCTCAAGGAACCTAGCTTTCCACCAGGTTTCCCTTCCCGAAAGCCGGTATTTTCAAAGTCGTCGCTCCAGCACACGACACGAGACGTTGCTTACCCACCTCATGCACTTCATTTTTCTTCTCGAATAGGTGGTCCACCACCCGGTTTTCCATCACGCGGCTCTTCAAGCGTTCCTGACGCTCACCGTTTGCCTCATAAGGACACCATGTTCACGATAGACGAGTTGACACACCGAGAAAATACCCAGTCGAGCCATGCTCCTTCTGCACGGGTTCATGCATCACCGCCCGGTGCATACACACTCGACAGTCGAAGCAACACCGAAGGATTAGGCACATCGAACGTCAGACGCTGCCATGCGCAAGAGTCTCTCGTAGTGAACAGTGCAGAAAAAGCTTCTGAAGAACTTTCTATCAACTCTGAAGCATCATCTTCATTGCCCGAATTGCATGAAAACTGCTAAAAAACTACCAGCTACCGACTGGAGACCCCATCAGGTTGTCATGAAAACCAGTGGGATGTTCAAGAAGGGCTTCCACCGCAATATGGTCCACAGCAACGTCAGCAACGCCAGCAAAAGCAAGTCCGTGAATCGCAGACACTCCAACGCACACACCAACAAGGACGACGACGCAAAGCAGGCCTCTTAAAACAAATTCAAGAAGCGAGGCAACCTCGCATAAAGGATCGGCGCCAGAAACGCATTTGGCACAAAATATCAAGACTGCACCTAAGATTACAGCTCCGAAACCTCAGGAAACACCGAACAAGACAAGAAGTCACCAGTTCTACCACGCAAAGATTCAGACACCATCCCATTAGTTTACGACAACGGAGCCAACGCCACAGAAAACTACGAAAGAGGCTGAACGTTATAATTAGTACAACGCACGAACATAGACATAATTTCTTGAACTTCAGTTCTTGTACACGCAGGCTACAAGCACTGTTTCTGTCTCAGCCGCGACACAAAATACAACGCGTACGACAGATTCGGCGCCTACGACATTCGACCTTCAAGTGCTCCAAGGACTTCCAACCTTGTTCGTTCCTCGCAGCTGCTCAAGTCATGTCATGGTCAGTGCAGTTTTGCAAGACGCGGTTACCATCTCCAGAACGCAACAGTCAACCTCGCCCACCAGAGTTGTCATAAGATTCATCGGACTGCTCAATCGGCCTTGAAGATTTAGTGAGATTGTGGAACTCCGTCTGGACGTGAAACTGTGAATTTGGGCATTGTTTTGTTCATTCACTTCTTTAATTTGTTATAGTTTGTAACCAGTGCCATCTTTCGGGGGGAGGGGGAATCATGTGACGTATGAAGCGATAGTTGGTAGAGGCAGAGAAGGAAGAAGTCGGAGATAGAATAAACATGGCGTATGAGCCAGGCCACGTCACCCAGTCATCATAGCGTCACACATATGCACATACTAACATGCATAAAGTATGGTTTAAAACCTTTTTAGAAATTTTCTGGCTACATTACTGTTAGAAAAAACTTGGCTGAACGTCCTATATAGGAATTTGTATAACACAAAAGTGAATTGTGTCTTTACAGAGGTAGTTGAGCATTTATTGTGCATTGTTTCAGCATTAGCAACAAATTTTAAAGTCAGGTTAGGAACGGCGAGAAGCTCGAAACTTGCAGCGCACACTTTAAGCAGAAAGCACTCATAAAATCAGCATACACAGGACGAGCGCGGACTAACAACCCACAGCTCTGCATTTTCGATGAAGGCGAACATGCTGTAGGCCTGTGTGCTCAGATTTGGGCGCACCTTAAAGAACCCTAGGTGGTAAAAATTTTTCGGAGCCCTCCACTACGGCATCTCTCATTATCCTATGGTGGTTTTGGGACGTTAAACTCCACATATCAATCAATCAATTATCGACTGTCACAGCTCGACACATAAGGTGCGCTGTTTAAACAGAAAGAAAGACGCACAAAATGAGCACACTAGGTACACAGGACAAACGCGAACGACTGTCACAAGGCAGCAGCGTCCTCTTTTCATAAACGCGACCGTGACAGCGTGCAAGGTGGCTTTCGTCCTCTCCCAAATCACGAATCTGATAAGCACGTGCATGCACGTGCATACCACGCTCTGTAGAGCCGATGACCTTTAAAGCGCCTTCAACGCGAGCTTGCCGGGCCATCTCACCACTGATAGTGAAAACGCACTAAAGTTTCAAAGCTCCGAGAATTGCCAAACTGGTTTATGGTGTATATAAATGACTTGCTGTTAGCATACCAGACAACATACGCTTTGTAGCGTTGTGATTTGTGCCACACGCTGGGAATCGAGAGGTTGGTGGTTCGATTCTGCACGACAGATGCCGGTCCTCAGATTTTTTTTGGCAATCTCTTGATATGTATTTTTCGATGTCGCTTCCGTGACCGAAGTATGGTAGCAGAGCTACAGTGAACCCTGGCATAAAACATTTTTGTGTTAAAAGATATTATTTGTTGTGCGGTCCTGAAAAGAATGTTAAAACTTTTGCAGCGGGGACAGGAGCAGAACTGCCTCATGACTGCAAAGAGGTTCACATACAGTGAAGATAGCCTACAAGATGCTCTGCATCTCCTCACCTTCACTCAAGATCAAGAGCACTTAAATCGGTAGGGCATGCCTGCCTTATAATATTTTTGTTTTCAGTTTTACTCGTTATTGATGATTAGTGATGAGTACAAGTAGTCTGTAAGATAAATGGATACCATTAGAAATATGTTCATTTGATTAGCAATTGCAACATAATTGAAAAACACTGAATATACAGTAAAAAATAAGGTTATTTTTAGGTTTATTAGAAATATTCAGGTTCAGCGAGGACAGAGCCAACATGCCGTTTATTTTTCAGAAAATTTATCTGCATGATGCTCTCATGTAAAGGCCCCCTGTTTTTTTTTTTGTATGTGTGTGAGCATTTGTTGAAGTGCAGCCCTAATGCAGAGGCAGTTCATTTCACTGCAAATGATTCTATCTGTGAGTAATCTCTATGGTTAATTTGTGCCAGAAGAGCTATTGGAGTTGTTCTTATAATGCATCTATTCACCATCTCAATCTTGCATTGCCAAGCTTGTTGCTCTAGTTTGGTTCAGCAACACTCTTTCAGAGATGGACATTCCCTGTGCCATCACTTGTGTCAAATATTCCATTGACTTCAGAACGTTTCAGAACAGTGTCTGATGACAACGCGTGCAGTGTGCTTATAATGTAGAAGTGTGGACAAGCCACATCAACAAGCTCTTCTTTCGTTCTGTCTGTGTCTTCACTTAAATTCTGCCCTGCCACGGTGATATAGTGGCTAAGATACTCGGCTGCTGACCCGCAGGTCGCGGGATCAAATCTTGGCTGTGGCGGCTGCATTTTCGATGGAGGCAAAAGTGCTGTAAGACTGTGCGCTCAGATTTGAGTGCATGTTAAAGAAACCCAGGTGGTCGAAATTTCCGGAGCCCTCCACTACAACATCTCTCATAATCATGTGGTGGTTTTGGGACGTTAAACCCCACACATCTATTTTCGCCTAAACTCTTTTTCAGCTCTTTTATTTTGGTTGTCAAGCTGAGTGTGTAATTGCTTGAGTGCTGTTCCTGTCTTAATGGTCCCTGAAACTATGCAAGCACTTAGGTTAAAACCAGAGTAAGTCATTCAGGCCATAGTTTAAGTGAATGATCTTATATAAAGGGAACTATGGTAATTAAAGGTTCCCCTCCTCCCAAGCTTGTTTTTTTTTTTTCCCAACTCATTTGACAAGTAGTCACCAGGGCTGAACTCTGTCTTCTATGATCATCCATTAAAATGCTATAAATAGTGAAGGCTGTGCTCCGAGTTTTCTGACTGACCTCTGAGCTACAAGGTGACCCTATGGAACTAACTGCTAACCCACCTCTTTCTCCGGTACAAATGCTAAAAATCTGACGAGATAGTGTCCCAAAATGATGCCACGTCCTATAACAGGGCCAGCTGTAAACCTGTAAACTTGTGACAGCATGCTGTGCTTAGTAGCACTGTGCATGTGTAACACCTTATAAATAGCATACTCGATGTAAAGCACTTTAATCAGCTTGATCATGGTCTGAAGGACATACAAAAACAGTTCATTGGCAGTGTTGCCAAATGTTGGAGAGCAAAAATAGCTAAATGGCAGCGTAAAAATAGCTAGAAGTAGCTAAAAAAGTCTAGCAAGGAGCTCAAAACTGGCTAAAGTATTGTTTCAAGCATTTTTAGGCATCTATAGGAGTGAAACAAACTTACTGACAGTTGTGTTACCTTAAAGTTTAAAAATAACTGTCAAATGACATTTTCTTGCATGCAACTATACAGAACATGTATAGTATGTGAACGGAAAGAGAAGGGTTCCTGGTTTGATTCCAATAATTTAGGGCAGGCATGGTTTTCAGAAACACGTCCAGGCTTGTATGTAAACATTCGACACAAGTCTGTCTGGTTGGGTATGAAAGTGGGAGATGATTTAGACTCCAACCAAAACCAAAACTTTTTTGAAGAAACCCGGCATTTCGAAACTGCCTTGGTTTCTTCGGTTGAATCACCAGATAAATTTCAAAGCGATGGCCATCCTTGAAAGCGAGCCGAACTGGAAGAGAAGGTTCTTACTTGAGTCATGGCACATACAGAGGACAGCCCATAACATCAACCGCTCTCTCGGAACCCTTCCTCTAGTGTATACACACAGACTGCGCTCCACGGCAAAACGAGAGAGAGGGGGGGTCATTATCTATCCCACGAGTGCTTTAAAGACGCCGCTGCTACGTAGCCTCCACAGTGAACCCTGAGGAAGGAATCAAGTGGGTTTCGAAACGTCGGGTTTCTTCAAAACTTTTGGTTGGAGTCTAAATAATCTCCCACATCCAGGCTTACGTGCTCATCAAAGACGAGCTGGTTAAGCATAGGGCTCTGTAACGTTACGGTTTTACGAATATTCGAAAACATTTAATAAGGAATCGGCGAGGGCATAATTAAACAACCGAATATTTTTTAGAACCATTTTTGAATAATGACCACTGAGGGGGAAACCGTAGTAGGACAATGCATTGGAAGAGCAAAGGATCATTTCTGTTGTTTTAATTGGTAAATTACCAAGATGCCTGTAAGTCAAGGTGCATACAGGTCAAGCAGCAGCAAGATCATGCTTTTACGGGAATACTGAAGCTCTACACTGGTTGAAGGATCTTTTTTTTTTTTTTTGCTCTAGACCTTTGTGTCGTAGAAGCGAATGTGTACCTTCAATTTCCTACCAACTTTATGAGATTTATATCGTTCATTCGTGAAATAACATTCACCTTGCATGTGTTACCTGGTGACAAATCTGAAAAATTCAGTATACGATATATGCAGGGATCCCACTTCTGCCCCAACTGCGCCAAGGTGTGCCAAACGAGATTTGCTGCGCCAATCTGATAAAATCCGACGTAAATTATGCCAAACTGCGCAAAACCGCCCATCTCAGGGGTCCGCAACCTGTGGCCCACGGGCCGCATGCGGCTCACTGGGCAGTTTTATGTGGCTCTCGGCACGATGTCAGACATCTTAAAATGGCTAGACACTGTATTTTTGGCAGTAATTAAATAACTATAATTAATATTTTAATAACCACAAACAGCAGTCGAGACTAGTTAGGTAATTATTTACCTTCCCGCGAACAGGCCATTGCCACTTTGAAAAACTGGCCGCCAGTACTTCTGCGGAGCATGAAATTTCTCATTTTGCGGTGGGACCACAACCAAAGCTCCGATGAGCACAACTATAGCTGAAGGCTAGAGATATGTCTCTCTTAAGGACGGTGATTGCAGTGGTATTAGTTCTGCATTGGTTTACTCACGTACGCCAACGTCATATATCGAAAACAAAACCCCTTTGAATATGTAACCTGGTTGCAGCAAAGAATAATTACACATAGGAACAAAACGAACATGCAACAAGCATGATATATTGTTTATTTTGTAAAATAAAAGGGCGATAGAGGCCAAAAGGCCTCAAGTATTGGTTTTATAACCAGATTATCGCGTTCCAAGGACATCACGCTGCTGTTGAAGTTAAAATCTCATACAATGACGATATTCAGGGCATCCAATCAAGTGAACATGCATGTGCACTCATATAGCTCTTTCTAAAAGATACTTATTGAAGGGACACTAAAAAGAAAGATTATTTTTCTCGAATCTCGATAATTCGAACTCGAAAAAGCCGGAATTCGTTTAAAAAAAGAAGTTAAAATAATAAAAGCTGAATGAACGGAGGTCTCACCATGCAGTGGCGCATTTGCATTGAGCTAACACACGAGGGGGAAGTTTTGGAAGACTTACATTTATTCACAAATCACAGGACATCCATCATTTATTGAAGTAATCGGTGATGCGCGTTTGCGCACGTTTGCCTTGCAGCGAGTCTATCGATTTCGCACGCAGCTTGCTAAGCATTTCTACTTCGACTTCAGCATTCTCCTGGCAAGAGAAGTTGCGCATGGCTATCTCTAGCGCCGACACCACAGAACACCTATATACTAGGTGTTAAGACAACGACAATGACTGCGTCTTCGCTGCTACCCTCTGTGCCACAGTCGCAGCATGGCCAACACGTTGCGAGACAGGAGGGTCTCCACGCAGAGAGAAGCAGATTTGCATTTGAGAGATAACCAACACTCCACAGCACCCTTTTTTTTCCTCTTTTCGCTCGTGGCGCTGACAGGAGAAGGGTCTCTACGTGTCAGGGACGGGAAAGGAGGAGGCGTGGCAACAGCGCATCGCAGATCAGCATTTTAGAGAGAGCCAACACTCCATGGAGGCGTTGCGCCGTGCTCCCTACTGGGCTACAGCAATTAGGTACCTTTCTTCCTCATTCTTCTTCTAAGCAGTGCCATCACCACTACGTTACAGATTTTTTTTTCTCTCTCTCCGCGCTCGGCGTTGAAAGGAGAAGGGTTTCTATGTGACAGGGACAGAAAAGGAAGAAGCCTGGGGGGGATGATTCTCAAGGAAAAAAAAAAGCGGAAAGGTAAGGAAATGGGGTGTGAAGCGCATGATAACTGTCTCTCATGTGAGGACACCTCAACCAATACTACACTCATGGGTGAACTGGGAATGAAAAGACAGTTAGAGGGAAGAAAAGAAAGTTGGCTAAAAAGAAGGGGAGGAGGGCTGAAATCAAGGAGGAGAAAAGAAAAAGGAAACTAGCATGATGGGAGGGGGCCACATTCACCGTGGCGAGCGGCTTACAAAAGTCGCTCGTTCAAGCTGGTGTCCTCGAGAAAGAATGAATGTGTCGTTGAAAGAAAGGAAAAAGGCACTATCTTCTGCAGCCCTTGTGGGAGCACGGCTCAGCGCCTTTCAAGAAAGACAGGTGCGTCCCAGGTCGCCCCAGCTTTTCCTTTCCTTTTCTTTTCCTTCTTCGCATGCAGCGTTGAGGTGTCGAAGGTGCCGCCGTGGGATTGGGTGTGGTGCTGAGAGCATTTTCGGAGCGCGGTATGTTTGAAATAACCGTCTCAGGTGCTTGCGCATTCGAATTACAGAGTATCTTTGCCCATTAGAATACACATAGCTTTGACGGGACCACAGTGTTAGTTTTAATTAATTGGAAAATTGAATTAAGTGTGTTCAAATTA